TCCTTAATTAAGTCAGGGTCTCGTAAAAGAAATTGTAGTTTGGTAAAAATAAACATTCCTCCATACCTATGTCCTTCAAGTTTTTTGTAAATGTCTCCAACAACTTCTCCAAATTGTTTCCGCATCAAAGCAGCATCAACGAAATTTCCAAATGGAAAAATCGGATCAACGTATGGTACATTATGTTTCTTCCAATAAGTGAATGTCCACTTAAAATAGATGTAGATCACTGACAGAATGCAAACTATCAGTGTCCCAACTTCAAGAAGAAATGACTCAGAAATTAATCCCATTCCTGTGAGTAAGACGCTGCAGTACTTAAAATTGACCTGTATTAAGAAAAACAATAGAACAATTAGTATTAAAATAATTATTATAATCTACCATTAACAAGAATAATATCAATATATATGAAGTACGAAGAAATTAAGTGATCGTATAAAGGGAGCATAATATCCGACTGTATGACTTTTATATGAATATATTTCAGAAGTATTATATATAATAAAATCGCATATGAGTGTCAACCGTAAACTCTGTTCGACTTCTTTCATGTTGCTCTTATCTAGATATCAAAAAACCTTACCCTACCTGAAAGTAAAATAGAGATTTGAACAATTTCTTTAACAATCACATTATCAAATATGGATCTAATCAATGTCTTTAAATGTCATATCATGCTTATATCCAATTTAACAGTGAAAATGGCGACAGATTAAGTACTTCAGTCTGTATTTCATAATACATTCTGTCTTATGACTATTTTTAGTATTTTAAGATCCCAATGCCTTTCCTCCACAGAAAAAATGTTTTAATAACGTTCATCAATAAGGTGTTCATAATTTTGTCTATTCACTCAAACAGACTTAAGCACAAAATTGTTGGTGCATAGGTTACAATATAGTTACAAAATGCAAAAAAAGCATTACTATTTAAAATTTTGGAAAGCACACCAACATTAACACATACTCTAGAATATGCTATGTAGAAAAAAAGACATGGACAAAAAGATTACTACTACTGCTACTACTACTAAAATTAATAGCAATAATATGTTCAAATTATTATTTTAATGATGTGGTTTTCCATAGGTCAGTTGCTCCTACCTGTAATTCACAATGTGATACCTTGAGGGGGCGTTCGAGACTGGTTAATATTTAAGGTTAAGGCAATTAACTATCTCTTCTGTAATTTTTTTAACAGCATGTTTTACGACAGAATGCATTGCAATATCTGTGATGTTGATTACGTCAACATGGTTCGTCAACCACAGTACGTAATCGCAACTATAAACACAGTAAATATGAACTTTGAGTAACTCTGGGTATTCGGAGCTGTTACAACGCTTACCAATAGTTACAGCCATCATTTTATTTCACCAGTTATATACGACAAAATGAAACTATATACCGGTAAACACAGCACAGTTTAATGTATGTTACTTTTACCTGTTTTTCTGGAGTCTGCTGCCTTGAGTACAATCGGACAAATACTTTCACATGGACCTACACATACTAATGACTTAGCTCTATAATTCCTTTGCCCATGATAGTGTTTGAAAGTGACTAACACAAATAGAGTGCGCGTGTGTGGGATAGAGACATGGAGGGGGTAACCTTGAAATTAATGTGAAGTCAGCTCTGGAGACTATTACACAGCTCAAGGCCAAAGTCAGATACTGATGTACAAAAATATTCTGTAGGTCCATCTAAACTCATGTGTACCACGGATATTTCACAGCTGTTTTGTGCGTTCTTTGAACAACGCAAAATGGAAGCATTACGGAGAGACAGCGTCTAACTGTCAGTAATTTTGCATGTTTAATCTGCAAAACTATTGGCCCCATTTCGCTTAAATGTTTCTTTCTATATATCTAGTCTAATTAACATTTCTTCTGCTGATACAGAGTAGATCTAACAAGTTAATAATAAACTTTTTATGAAATTTGGAAAATGAGTAGAAATAAGAAAGAAAAGAGTGTACATAATAAAAGTTTCTCACTCCGAACACATATTCGAGGACCTACTTAGGATTCTTTAGCCGGACGTCTACTCTTCAGGTAAATTTTGCGTTCGTACCAGAAAATAAGCAACTATCACTTCATTATTCTTTCACACTTTTCTCCAAATCTTTTATAGACCAGAAATCCAAAATTACATCAGGAGGGTGTTACACATGTACTTACAAGCAAACTATTTTGTACAGAACTAACAACTATTACACACAAAGTCTGATATACACACATTAATATAATTACACCACATATTAACCATTTTTGGTGCCAAAAACAAGACAGTCTTGCTGAGGTTGGCCACACTTATGCTGCGTTATATCATACATATTTATTTAAAATATAGCATTCGCTTCAGAAATGATGCAGAAATCAAATATTTGTTGTTTGATAACATATTTTGACTTATCCCAGTCATGCTATAATATTTGTTATGTGATATCATCGTAGAAATATTATTTGAAATGTAAACAACAATAATATCCATTATTGTGTGCGTAATTCATATGGCAGCGTTAGAGTGTACTGATCTTCTGTACTTGTTGGTAAAAATTAAACTTTGTCACAAGACGAGAATTTAATCAGTCTGTTTTTGGCGAACGTAGTACCACCAATAGCTTTACCTACGATTCTCTCACCTCGATATTTATTCGTTTTTGAGAAAGAAATGTTTCAGGCCGTTGTTTCTTTGTAGTGATGTCATACTATGTTTTTGGAAATAAAATATCAAAGATAAGATTACGGAATTTTGTGGATATATGGTAGAGAATTGGTTATCCAGATGTTGAATTATCTCAAGTGATGGGCCACAACGTGATGCCAAATCACAGGAATGCGCTGCTGGGCGTCTTGTGTCCAGTCTGGATGAGTGAGTTCCGGCGGACAGTCTCCAGATGTCTCTGAGGTACAAAAGCTGTCCTCCCGCTGCCATCTATGAATTGAACAGCAAATCATATCTTTGGAAATTTAAATATTGACAGAGTTTGCAGGAGTACAGTGTTCTACAAGAGGGTGTTCATCTTAGTTAACACTTCTGTTCTCAATACTCAGCCACATCCCACCAGCAGGAGCCAATATGAATGACTTCGGATCTTTCACTAATGGAACTGGTGTCTTCTGGCTCATTTTGAACTGGTATTTGGACAGAAGAGAGACAAGTCCCACCTTCGTTTGCATCAGTCCGAAACGCATTCCTGAAACAGACAAATGCACTCGCCACATTTTGATGTTAACAAGAAATTTCTTTTATGAACATTCTGTGTTTATTTCTATATTTGCATGGACTCAAAAGATTATAAAGAACTTCAATTTGAGACCTGTTACTGAAATGAATTTACGAAACTGTTCATTGTCAATTTTTAACTATGTAATATATAAGAGAACACACACAAATTTGAAGAAATAATTATATTTCACGTACAGATTTTTAAAAGAGAAGAGACATCGGAATCCACTTAAGATTCTGGAAAAAACAGTCTGTGAGCACAAGAAGAAAACAAGAAGACCTGAAACATATTATGGTCATTCTTTGTTATGGATGTTAAAATTAGGGACTCACCGATACAAATTCTGGGTCCCTCTCCAAATGGAAGGTAGACGAAATGGGGCCTCTTCTGTTTCTCTTCTTCACTGAAAAAACGCTCGGGGTCAAATCTCTCAGGTTCAGGGTAATATTTCGGGTCATGGTGAAGAGCCGACACGGGTAAAATAACGTTACTTCCTGTGTCCAAAATAATATCAGTTCCGGAAATTTTGTATGGTTTTGAACACTCACGGACTAACATTGTAAGTGGCGGGTACTTGCGGAGAGTTTCTGAAATAAATTTGTTTTTGTTTGATGTTAATATTAGTTTTTCATGTTACACTTTAAAATTAAACACAGTGGAATTTTCCTACATTATGTAAACAAGCAGATTTAATTAAACTTTATTGACATTCGATTATATTATTGTCAACACTCTCGTATTCATTACTTTAGAATTATTTCTTTACTTATATTCAAGCCTGTTGCTGATATCAAAAAATTATGATTTTTTCTTTCGTAAACAACAGAAAGAGACTGGTACTTTAAAGAGTGCTACAAAGTTGTATCCTATCTGTACTTCTTCGAGCAGACCTTCAATGAAATTTATATATACAAACATAAATACACACATAATAGTTTTACGAGATCTGTCTGGTACTTATTTCACCTGATATAACCTTGTCCAAATAATTCATCTCTTGGATGGCGTCGTACGTGATGTTGCCGTCATGTTTCTCCAGAACGTCGTCAATCTCAGCTCGTAGGTGCTCCTGTAAATCTGGGTTCACTGATAACTCGTACAAGCAAAAGGTCATTGTTGTTGATGATGTCTCGAATCCGCCAAGGTAGAAGACGAAAGCTTGGTGGATTCCATCGAAAGACCTACACAGTTTCCGTATTTGTAAGTACATATCAATCATATTATCAACGAACTAACAAACTAAAGTGGTCGCGCAAAGCATTACTGAAATTAATGAACTGATGGAACTAAATATTCTCACGAAACTGAGTTAACAAAATTAAATGTGCCAAGTAATGAAGGTGACAAAACTAAATCTGATAGAAAGGGCATTCCTTAGTGCCATGTACCAACAACTGAAACATAATAAGCAGCTAGAATGTTAATAATCTGGTTTCACAATCTAATTATTTTTATTATGTGTAATTAAAAGAAGTGACCGAGCTAAGTAAACCAAATAAAAAAAATAACAATTTCAACTAAGTAACAAAATTACCTGTACAAGATGCTAATCACCAGAACGAAATAACCGATTTTCTTACTACATTTTACAGAGTCTGTTTGGACACTTAAGTAGTATTAATTGTATGGACAAGATATTAAATGTAATGTAAGGTGAATACTAAAAAATGTTCATTTTTCATCCCCGATATTTGACACTGTACTGACCTAATTTTACAACTCATTCGCCCACCTAAATATTTCAAAATTAATTTCTCTCATATTGTTTTGATGTTATCTTCCCATCAGGAAGCATTTTCCAAGGCTTGCTTGAACTAACAAAGCATAAGCAAAATGTCTGACAAACAAATAACAACATAAACATCAATTCTTTACCAGTTGCTTAAAATGGACAAAAAGTCAATTTAAACTTGAGAGGTATATAAGATAAGATAATTATATGTTAAGAAGTGTGATTAATCAAGAGCAAATTTAGTTACAATGCTATAAAATTGTAAAGAAGACTTTATAATGGTGTGTTCATACCCTCTGCTCTTTCAGCAACCCCGTTCAGTATTTCACAGTTCTGATCCTTAGCTTCCTGGTCAGGATCCACAATGCCCTTATTCTTCAGCTGTATCAAAAGGTCCATGAAGTCATTTCGCTTTACATTGTTCTTCTCTCGATATTCAACTGTTTCCTCCACCATTTTGCGGAAATATTTAGAAACGCTTGAATTGATCAGAGACAATTTCAGTGTATCCAACACAACAGGCGCAACACCTGACAATACTCCAAGAAATATCCGTCTGAATGATGGTTCAAATATTTTTCTTCCCCATTGTCGAAATTCAGCGTTTTCATTCTTGAGGCAATTACATTCAATCCCGAAAGCACAAGACGAAATTACATCTGTGCTGAATCTACCTAGAACATCCTTAATTTCAATAACATCTCCGTTTTGAGCCATTCCTCGCACGCAATGTTGAAGTTGCCCTCCGCAGTCCACAAGTCTTTGGAACATCATTTTCATCTTCCCGGATGTGAAAGTTGGAGTCAGCTTTAACCTTAGGTTCCTTTTCTTTCCGGGTAGAGAAAATAAATGTCCTGATAAAGGTTCGACTTCTTCATTCATGTAGACCCCACGATCATGAAAAGTAGAGAAATCCTTAACTAGAATGTCCTTAATTAAGCCAGGGTCTCGTATAAGTAACTGTGGTTTGGTAAAAATGTACATTCCTCCATACCTATGTCCTTCAAGTTTTTTGTAAATGTCTGTAAAAATATCTCCAACTTGTTTCCGCATCAAAGCAGCATCAACGAAATTTCCAAATGGAAAAATCGGATCAACGTATGGTACATTACGTTTCTTCCAATAAGTGAATGTCCACTTAAAATAGATGTAGATCACTGACAGAATGCAAACTATCAGTGTCCCAACTTCAAGAAGAAATGACTCAGAAATTAATCCCATTCTTGTGAGTAAGACGCTGCAGTACTTAAAATTGACCTGTTTCAAGAAAAAAGAATAGAACAATTATTATAAGCTACCATTAACAAGAATAATATCAATATATATGAAGTACGAAGAAATTAAGTGAGCGTATAAAGGGAGCATAATATCCGACTGTATGATTTTTATATGAATATAATTCAGAAGTAGTGTATATAATAAAATAGCAGATGAGTGTCAACCGTAAACTCTGTTCGACTTCTTTCATGTTGCTCTTATCTAGATCACAACAAACCTTACCCTACATGAAAGTAAAATAGAGATTTGAAGAATTTCTTTAACAATCACATTATCAAATATGAATCTAATCAATGTCTTTAAATTCCATGTCATGCTTAAATGGAATTTAACATGAAAATGGCGACAGATCAAGTATTTCAGTCTGCATTCATAGTACATTCTGTCTTGTGACTATTTTTTGGTATTTACAATTCTTCCACGTAACTCAATCTTGAGGAGACAAGCACATCATTACTATTGCTATTAGTTTTAAACTGAAAAGTAATCAAATGTTAATTGTTTTAACACGAGAACAAGGACTTTATAAACTACAACAATTATGCTTTAATTTTACCGAAACATTGCTCTTTCACTGCAGTATCATCATTTTACTTCCGATGAATTCATACTAAATACAAATGAATGTATTACAGTTTAGTTTGTTAGCTTTACCTGTCCACTGGAGTCTGCTGGCTTGTTAAATAAACTCTCTGATGAATATACGTACACTTACTTTGTATCTCCGTAATTCTTTGACCTGCGATTATCTGTTCAGAGATAAGACCTCAACATGTGAAAGAAATAATCTTCAGATTGATGTGATACCATCTCTTGAGTCAGCATTACACAGCTAGTTTATAATAAATATTCCTTAAAGCCAGAGTTTCAAGATTTAACTAAAATTCCAAGGACTTCAGAAATCATTATACAGCATAAAAATAAAGGTAGCCTTTAATAGTCTCTTCATTTTTCTCATATTTTAACTCCGATGATAATGGCTCGATTTCGGTTAAATTTAGTATTGCGTATCTACGATGCATGCAATTTAATTGATTCAAAGTGCTGCAATATGAAACCTAATTTACATGGGCTAATAAAGTATAAATCTGTATTTGATAATCAGACCTAGTTTAATGTCTCATTGGAGAATGGCTTTCCATTAATTTTCTATGCTATGAGCTGTAGTTAATGTGGCCCTTTAAACACACTTTCCTTTAGACGTGCAATAACAATCACATGCTTATAGGAAGACATCTACGCCGTATGTCTGTGGCTCATAATTGTTTGTTGGAAGGCATTGCCATAGTAACAGTCTCGTGCCTTGACACCCTTTTTTTATTGAGTAGGTAGCCTTCAAGCTGATGTAATTTAAAGAAAGTCAGCATGTAAAATATCTGATTAACGTAGTGAGATCATGCTTTAAGAATGCATGATATGTACTTAACAGTTCATGGAATTACAGACGCAATAACTGACAGCATGACGAAAACAGAAGGTAACCTTCAGGCACAAGAACTTATACGCCACGAATTCAACTTTAATCGATTGATTGTTCATTACGAGTTACATTTTGATATCTTACATTAGTGCACAAGAAGCACAAGACAGTGCAATAGTGTAATAGTGCATTAGTACACAAGATATCCTCCAGCTGCGATAGTCGACTACATTCGCCGAGCTAAACACATTTGCATAGTTCTCCCATCTAGCGTGAAGAGTTTGAAGTTGTTCGTATAAGTCACAGGGCTCCCAAAGTTAAAAGACATCGCTTCGAAGACCTTGGAGTAGGTGAGAGATTAATGTTATTAAAATGGACCTTGGAAAAGAAGTTTCCATGACGTGGACTGAGTAGCGGTGGAAATGGTGTTGACAGCGGAGAACCGAAGACTCAGAGGAAACCCTGTGACAGTGCCACTTTGCCCAACATAAATCCTGCTAGGTCTGGGTGCGAACCCTAACCTCCACAGTTAAACCCTGGCTACTAATCGACTGAGGTACACCACGGCAACTGTTAGTTTGCTGTAGAAATAATTGCAGCATATTTTGTGACAAACTGTGTCGTTCTATTGTAACTTTGTTTACGTAGAATCGCAACTGTCTTCTATTATCTTTGGAAGAATTCGTCACAAAACTTTAATATCTGCATTTATGGATTTATTCGATGGCGGTTTCTGCCCTAACATTGTAGCTACAGGTGTTGATTCGTGGGATTAAGCAACGCATTTAGCTTACGGTCTTTGCCACGCAATTTTAAACTTGGGAGGCAGCGCTACAACGGCCAGAATGTGTACCACCTTCTGTGGCGGTAAACTTGAAATGTTTCCGTGCACGTCTCAAGGTATGTAATTGTCGTAATTGCTTTAGTACATTTATTGTAGTAAATTATTAATCATTTTGAGATAACCTAAAATATCTTTTCACGTTCTTGGCTTTTCTCACTACTATGAAGGGAGTTTGCGAAGTTACACATTACTTAGCCACTGAGTTCCAGTAGCCGGTATCTGTATTTTTACTAGCCAGTTATTAACGTATGTCATACAATGTTGTAAATTCATTTGTTAAAAATGTTTACAGTGAATTTGTCAGTGAAGGTATTCGCGAATGTCGACATATTAAAACAAATCTGGATTCTGACTAACCGACGTAAATAGAAAATATCACTTGGTAGATTCCGGTGTAAATGGAAGGATAATGTTAAAAGGAATTTTTAATAAAAAGGTGCACAAATGTGAACTGCTAAAACTACTTTAGAATGAAATCAGTGTTAACACAATGAAAAAGATTAAAGTTCCATAAAATTCTGGGTATATACTAATACAGAGCCTTGTAAAATGAGGGCAAAATAATATTGAAAAAAAATGTTCAAATTGGCTTTCCGGAATAAGCCGCATAAATTAATGAAAGTTTTATCAAAGTAAACATGGCATATTTTTAGGTATTATTTGGGCATTTTCTGCTGGAATGTGAAAAATCACAAAATACTTCAGTCCACACGATACGTCTGCAAGCAAAGGTTTATATTCGACCCCCCTATTAAAATCAGGGGTACCAACCGCTATGCGTAAAACTTCGGTTTTCGAATCGTATGTCAAATTCACAATCTGAGGGCACTCAAATATTGTCATATAAAATAAATTAAAAGTTTATTTTTCATGAAGCACAATATACAGATAATAATGTAAATCGATAAATATTATGTAACAATTCTGGCTAAGGTTATAAAGCCATAAATGTACAAATTTAAGCCAAATGAATAAGAATATAAACATTGGAAAATCATTCAGGTGAAGATATTCAGAATGCTGGTAGGAAGAAAGTGTCATGATGATTGTGATTAAGAGTCAAATATTGGTCCTTGAACACAATACCAACAAATTTCCATTATAAAATTTCTTACCGGAAGCCGTGAAGTGACAATTACGTTAAACTTTGTCAGTGAACAAACCGTATGTGAAAGTTAAAAAGCTTACTATAAGACGGAAAAGTGGAGATCAAGTACTGGTCCACGTACGACAAAACAAAATTACAGAATTACACACAGTAAATAATGACAGCCGAAAACAAGGCCAGACTCGTGAAAAACATCATGTTAAGAAATATTGATATATGGGTTTATAGTAGACTTAACCCCACAAAAATCAAAATAACAAATTAAATACAGACTTAGAATCTAATATTTGGTAATGATTTAACAATTACCCCACACGAAATATAGTGCTTACTTGGCCATGTCTTGATTACTAAAGAGTAGCTTGTGTAGAAAATGTTTCTGTGACGTGTAAATATTATATTGGAATAAATACTGTTGTTTCTTCAATACAGGCATCATTTCTCATACGCCGATCGTAAGAGGGTAAAAATCGAGTGTCAGGTTAATTTTGATGGAGGCAGGAATCTCCTCTAAAACGTCAGTCAATACGTAACAGATTACACTAAGCTATATTCCAGAAAACAGCCATATTAATACCACCTTCAGAATATATTTGTTACAGTGTATTTAACTTACATGGGAAATGGAAAGCCAGATGATATGTGGCACTTTGTGTTTAATTAACACGCTTTTTAATCTGAAGCCACATTCCACCTACAGGCGACATGATAAATGATTTAGTCTCTAACACCAATGGGATCTGTGTCTTCTTGCTGACATTGAACTGGTATTTAGACAGCAGAGAGATAAGTCCCACTTTGGTCTGCATAAGTCCAAACCGCATTCCTGAAAAACGAAATTAGAATCCGTGTGGTGATGAATGGTAATTCCGCTTACTTCTGTATATAAGGTCTTCAGATGGGATCACTACTCCAGAAATAAAAAAAATCTCATAATCTTTTATTATTTATCCTCTGTTGTATAGAGTAATGGTTTGATCTCTCTATGTAAACTCCGAGCGGCTCTATAGCAGGATTTAATAATCCATTACGATTGCATGGAATCTGACGTAATCTAGCTCTAAAGCTGAGAGAAATAGAAATTATTTTTTAACGGAAGGATTTTTCGGGAACTGTCATGATATCTAAACATCAGAATTGGTTCCATGAAGCAAAGTCTTTTTTATAGAATATAACAGTAACTCAGATAGTTAAAAAAAATTGTTTTATAAAATCATAAATTCGTGTTAACAAGAGTATATCAATGACTGCAGATGAATCCACTAGAAATTATTAGGAAAATTTAAGATCAACATTAATATTATCCTTTCATATAGCCTAGATCTTCCCAAGGATTTTAAGAACCAAAAATGTTACTCGCATTATGACATGAGTTTTATTTCGATTAACTTACCAATACATATCCTTGGGCCCTCTCCGAAAGGCAAATAAACATAGTTGTGCCTCTTCGCCTTCTCTTGTTCACTGAACCTCTCAGGGTCGAACCTGTCTGGGTCCGGGTAATATTTCGGGTCGTAATGGAGTCCCAAGACAGGTATGATTGTTTTGATTCCCTTCTCAATTATAATATCAGAGTCTGGAATCTTGTACGTCTTGGTACATTCACGGTTTAGGATCGGAACTGGTGGATATTTGCGAAGAGTTTCTGAAATAATAAGAAAAATAAATTTACACAGTCTATTCAGTAATAATCAAGTATTTAAGTTTGTTGATATTTCCCTTCAAGTGCCTTCATGTAAAGTGAATGTAATGACAAGTTTTAGTAACATTACCTAACATAAAATGTAAAGAAAATCTGTCCAGCTCTTCTGGACTTATTTCATGCATGCAGACGGACAGACAGATAGACAAACAGAATAAAACATGTAATGAAAACTTACGCGAAAAAATAATTCGGTAAGAGACCTGTTGAACTCTTAAAGTCACGATTATTTAAACGTTCTTCGGACGACATGTCTTACCTGCAACAACTTTGTCCAAATATTCCATCTCTTGGACAGAGTCGTATGTAATCTTGCCTTCGTGTTTCTGTAACACAACATCTATCTCTTCCCGGACACGCGTCTGTATGTCCTGGTTCAACGATAGCTCGTACATACAGAATTGCATGGTTGTTGACGACGTCTCGAAACCGGCAATGAAAAATACGAAAGCTTGAGCACCCAGGGACTCCATCGAAAGACCTGTAACATTATGACTAATCTCACTACAAGTGTAGATCGAAGTTAAACTGACAAAACCAAATTCAAACGAAATTTATTTTATTTCACTTTCAATCACAGTATACATAAGATAATTAATATCGGATCAAGTAAGAAATTTTAAATTTTGAGTGCAAGATCTTAGAAATAATAAAAGTATCATGACGTAGTAGACGTTCATAGCATGTACTTTGTTTTTGTATAGAAAAAAAATTTCATTTCTAAACAATTCCAGTATCTATCTATATCATAAATAATGTAAGTTGTTTGGTGATAATTTTGTGTCACTAAACCAACGTTTTACTTAAGAAAATAAATTAATTTAAAAATTAGAGTGAAAACGATGATATTGGTGATAAATAAATTAAATTTACTTATTATTTCAAGCATGAATCATCGGAATGCAAAGAATAATGTGATTTAATTGTGAGGAAAGTTGACGGCTGTTGCAAGAGTCAACTTATTTGTTTATATGTAACATACGTGGGGAATACATACCATTTTCGCCAGATTTATCCTCCGTAATTTCATGGCCATTCTGTTCAGATTCCTCATTTCCTTCTTCAACTTTACCATTGTTTCTCATCTGAATAAGCAATTGCATGAAATCATTGCGTTTAAAGTCGTTCTTTTCCCTGTAGTTTACAGTGTCTTGAACCATATCTGTAAAATACTTCTCGATTTTGGAATCTAGAGTTCTAAATTTGAAGGCAGCAAATAATTCGGGAGCAAATGCTCTAGCAATTGATAACATTGCTAGTTTTATCGACGGTGTAAATATTTTCCTTCCCCATTGACGAAATTCAGCGTCTGGATTCTTAAGACAATTACACTGGATACCAAATGCGCAAGATGATATTACATCCGTGCTGTACCTCGCTAAGACATCTCTGATTTCAATAGTATCTTCATTATTAGCAGTTTCTTCTAGAATAGATCCAAGTTCATGTCCGCAATCAACCAAAGTTTGGAACATCATTTTCATTTTTCCAGAAGTGAATGTTGGCGATAATTTGATTCGAAGATTTCTCCATCTGCTTCCATTTAGAAGGAACAAGTGACCAGATAATGGTTCAAGTTTTTCATCGGTGTAGAAGCCACGGTCATGGAAACTAGAGAAATCCTTAACAAGAACATTTTTAATAATATCTGGATCACGAAAGATGAATCCAGGTGTTGTTAACGTAAACATCCCACCATATTTCTCGCCGTCAAGCTTAAAATACATATCTCTAAATAGACATCCAATCGATTTCCTAAGAAATATCATATCTTTGAAATTTCCGAATGGGAAAACTGGTTTGATGTAAGGTGCATTTCGTTTCTTCCAGTATGTGAAAGACGATCTGCAGTAAAGATATACCACAGCGGTGACACATGCTACCAGAACAGCCACGTCCAGCAACAGGGTTTCAAAGAAAAAACCCATGTTTGAAGACCAACCTGTAGAAATGCAAGCACGCAGATTAATGTCAACATGTTTTTTTGTGCAGTGTCAATTTTAATTGAATATTCCAGAGTCATACTTACATTACTGCTTACAAGATTACGACAGATACAAGAGATAATATCGTTATTTTTTAAAAATAATCACGAATAAAGCAAATTCAAATAAACTCAGTCATAATTACGCAGCAAAAAATATGTTTAGCAGAATCGATACATGAATTTGAAAAATCAGACTTAATTAATTTGATATAAAGTGACAGTGTTCTGAATAAAATATAATATCAGGCTTTCCACTAAGATATTAAGGATAACAAATGTTTCTGATATAAATCTGATTTTTCTCAACGGTATGGATTGTCTTCGAGTTGTGACTAGCAGGAAAATTCATTAACGCTAATACTAAAGTTCGCTGCTGGACATAAACGTGAGATTTTTCTATTCGTTCAGACTTTCACAAGCGTTTGAGATACAACGTATATTGATGTCTGCAATAACAGACGTGGCAACTTTATTTTTGTTCGTATCGGTTCACGGTATATTCTACTTACATGAAATTCAAATTTATTTCAATTAAATGAACGAAAGATTATATTAATTGTTTATAAAATGTACCATAATATAAAATATAAACAATTTTGTAATTTCTATTTCAGTACTGCGCAAAGAACAAGAAACACTTTATTTAAATTATGCCTACTCAACTGGTTAATAGAGTTCCAGTCATTTATGGAACCAAAAATATTATTATGTTCAAAAGAGCTAGCCACTTGAACCTGTCCTGAAGAAGTTCATTGAAGGCCATACTCCAACATTTTTAGAAGAGGATCCGCTCTTTAATTAACCTCCCATTTATGCCTAGGTCAAGATGTCTGACAAAAATTTCGTATTTGTTTCTCATTCAATTCGTACCCTAAATCAGAATACACTTTTCTAATCTTGCCATACACTGTGATAAGATAAAATGCAACTTCTGATAAAGACAGAATATTAATCTACACAGAATATTTAACAGTCTTTCGTAAATTTAATCCTGGCTATCAAAGAAATGACAGTGATAACTTTACCTTTATTATTATCTGCCTTCACTTTCTAGTCGTGCAGATCTGAACTACAGCACGCGGGCGACTAATATCAAAGCAAACTCTCCTATTCCTCTTATACAATCTTCAGAACGATAATGACTTGCAAGAATTCATGACTGTAACTGGAAGAAAGGCCTATGTACTTACCCTCACTGGCTGAAAACTTAATGTAAACAAGTACGTTGAGATGTGACAACGTGACGTTTTTATAACGAATCAGCCTTTCTCTTATCTTACGTCTTACTTCTGTTATTCTCAAACTTGAAGTGAAACGACGTATCAGTTTTAAATCTATCGACAAGCGATCATATTCGACCGCGGAAACGGGGATTATGAATTCAAATACTAATCGTTACTTGCATACATGCTAGCTGTTTATGTTATGTTGTCGCGTGTGGACGGAAACCATGAGATTTAGGCCCAGTACTTTCGTTAAAGACGGGACACCAAAAGTATTTAATTTCTTAAAAATAAGTAGATTTGAGTTTTTTACGGCAATGAGTCTGAAGATGACTGTGTTATTGCTTTTGAATCAGAATAGGCTGTGTGGGTCTTGTCCATGAAATACGAAAGAATTATCAGGTCTTTAAAGGTTACTCTAGATACCATCTGCTTTAATGAGAGATAACGCTGTATTTGTCCAAACAGTGTGTGAGATTCGTATGATGCTCAGAGTAAACAACATTAACCGATTTATATTAATAATGGTGAAGTGTGGCGTTTTCTTTGCGGTACGAACCTAATTATTAAATTTTATTCTGCTTCTTAGACCTGAAACATTCAACGTAAAATCGAATTCCACTTAGCTTTATAACTAAATCTTAAATATGTTATTTTATCAGTGACTCATGTTCTTGATAAGCTAAATAGTGGTATACGATATTAACTGCTGTGTCAGAATGAGAATCGAAAGCTAGTACATTACAAGACGTCTCGATTGTATTTATCTTAATACTGATGCGAATAAAAAAAGTTGTTTTCAATGTTAAAATCTCATAGTCATGATGAAATGCATATGGAAAGAATGGTAACGTATCTCGTTTATTTGAAGACGTAAATATTCACACATATCTGCGCATGATCTGAATCTTTCACGGTGACTAAGTATAATGAATTCCTCTCGGGTTATCAGCCGTGTAAGATGGCTTAATGAAGAAAACAGAAACGTTTCGAGAACCATCTTCTTCCTCGTCTTGGGTGTCATGGCGGAAGGGTGTAAAGTTCAAATATTCCAGCAGACATATTACGAGGCGCGTCCTTATTCCAGCTCCCGCCGACTGTGAAGTGCGGTCAGTGATAACGCTCGGCCGCACACGGCTCGACGGACAGCGAGTCTCCTGCAGGAGTTCAGCTGGGAGGTGTTTGATCATTCACCCTACAGCCCGGACCTCGTTCCCAGTGATTTCCATCTTTTCCTACACCTCAAGAAATTCCTGTCCGGTCAGCGTTTTGAGAATGACAGAGAGGCGGAGATGGTTGTCACACAGTGGTTCCAATCCCAGGCGGGCGACTTCTACGACACAGGTATTCAAAAGTTGGTCCCACGGTATGACCAATGTCTCAATTCCGGTGGCGAATATGTTGAAAAATAGCTGGACACTTGCTGTATCTGTTGCAATAAATATTTCCATGAAATTGTGTTTTGTTTCTGCTCCAGGAAAACTTACTTTGTGGACGAGCCTCGTATTACCTCGTTGTAGTTCACTTTGGCTTTAATTATTCTAAGGACAGCAAATGTTATTTACGTATTTATTTTTAAAAACCAGTAGACCTGAACTGTAACGAATTTCGAAAGCTGGTGAGATTTAAGGTTCCCACGGCGACAATAAATAAGATGACTTATTTTCTGGGATGTTGCACCGTGTGTTATGGTAGCTGATAATCGACGTTTCAGAGGAGCAACATCCCGGAAGAAGTCATATTCATTTCCGAGTGTTGTTTCGTTTTTAAAAAAACTAATCTCTGAAACATTTTCCTTTTTTCCCTGACACAGGCAAATTACTTTCGTTCCAGACGGAATCCATCTTGGTCTAATTTAAGGCATTATTTAGACATGTTCCTGGATGGCCTGAATAAAACCACGTATGACTTAACGAGGATGTTCACCTTCTGGGCCAATATTTGGGTCCGGGACCCTCCCACCGAATGAGAAATCGGAGTGCTAACCATTTGACTCTATTGAGACTCTTACAGCCGGAATGCGGGAAATAATTATTATCAATATAATTTATTAAATGAGAAACGCTGTGACTTTATGATAACACCTTTATTGTACATTACAGACTAAGCAATATCTTAAGCTAAATGAAAGCTGTTGCCAGTAGGACATAAAATAATATTCTACAGCTGATCTGAGATTTTTCTTTTTAATACATTCAGAATGACTGAAATCAGCCAAACCGTTTATCAATTTACGCTGCAGATACTGTTAAAAAACATTGGGTAAATGAACAGCTCGTTTTCCATAAGAGGATTGCACACCAGGATGATAAACAATTGTAAACATAGAACACTGTTCGATCTAGCGTTATTAATAACGAGCTGGACAGTTATACACACACAAATTTGAAAAATATTTATGATTTATAATACCTAATGGTATTCAGCATTTTAACAGAATGTGTTTACACCAATTTCACTAATATTATGCCGTTATCCGCCATTTTGCGTGTTGTTGACCGCACAGACCGCGTTAAAGTCAAAATGAAGAAGACGTATAAAGAAGTTATAAATTAAACAGTTTTAAATCTAGAAAAATAAATCAGTATCTCGTAAATGGATAATGAATGTACGTCTTCACAGAAAGATGTAAATTAACGTATTAAATATAATTATGAGATACTTGATAGACATTACATTTTTATTGTGTTTCTAAACTTGTAAAATAAAGTTTCAAACCCGTTTTACAATCTTGAGCCACATGCCACCAGCAGCTGATGTTATGATGGTCCTTGGATCGAGTTTTAGAGGTATAGGCGTTTTCTTGCACACGTGGAAACTGTGTTTGGACAAGAGTGACGCAAGACCAACCTTGGTTTGCAGTAGCGCGAAACGCATTCCTGTTAATAAAAGATAGATGACTTCATAAAAACCGTAGACAACAAAACTGTTATTCCTGTTAATAAGAGATAGATGACATCATAAAAACCGTAGACAACAAAACTGTGCACAGCTGTACCGCTGCCATGGGTTTTGAACTTGGTCACTCAATATTTACCCACTGGCATGTACTCGTGCCAACTACGACATTAAAATGAAGGTGGGGTAATGTAACTGGAGAGAGAAACAATACGCAATCAATAATTATAGTAATCAACTCTACGCGAAACGTTACTAGGACATTCAGATCAAGGAATGTGAAATTAACAGGGTATATAACACGCGTGAGAGAGAAATAAAGCCATAAAGAATTTTTATTGGAACACCTGAAGGAAATACATTACTTTGAAGATATAGGACTATGTGAGATGATAAAATTTCAATGGATCTTAAAATTAAGTTGGGACAATTTATTTATATGCTGTATTGTAATGGTTGAAGCATTGACAGAGGATAATTTCTAATCCAGCGAGTCCTACTTCGTGCACGAAATTACTTATTGTCCCTAATTCGGAGCAGAAGATAAATAAATTGTGTTTCTGTGTCAAAGAAAGTTTTCTGAATGTATGTAGATTACAGCAGCTTGCAGCCAATGTGAGACGATGTCAAGCATATTTAGTGCTGCTATAATACAATATTTACTCGGATGTTATAGAAAATGTCACGTTGTGGAAAGGATCAAAA